TACTACTACTACTACTACTACTACTACTACTACTACTACTACTACTACTACTACTTCTACTACTACTACTACTACTACTACTACTACTACTGCTACTGCTACTTCTACTGTTACTACTACTGCTGCTGCTACTGCTGCTGCTGCTACTGCTTCTGCTACTGCTACTTCTACTACTGCTAATACTAATACTACTGCTACTTTTACTGCTACTTCTTCTACTTCTACTACTACTGCTGCTATTCCTGCTACTGCTGCTACTACTATTTCTGCTACTACTACTGCTACTGTTCCTGCTACTACTACTGCTACTACTACTACTGGTACTGCTACTACTACTGCTACTACTATTGCTGCTACTATTACTGTTATTACTGCTACTGCTATTACTGCTACTGCTACTACTACTGCTACTGCTACTGCTATTACTGCTACTACTACTACTGCTACTGCTGCTACTTCTTATACTTTAACAACAGCTTCCGTAGAACATGTACACTTTAATTTAGATTAAGGAAGACATCACACACATGTATATCACGGCCACTCCAGACAAGAGTATAAAATTGAGCATTTTGTACATCGATATTTGAGAGACCGGTGTGTATACAATATATAATTGAGCGACAATTGTTAAGTGTAGTGGGTGTGTGCGAAAGACGCTTCAAGTTGTTGAAATCATGTCATGCTTTATATAAAAGTAAGAGTAAAACATTCTTTTTTTTGAAATTACATCATTAAACATAATGTAAGCAGCACGCCTCAAGATCCATTATTATCTACTTATCTACTTATCTTCATAACAATAAGGAAAATGTATTTTAGACTAAAATATTGGAAGTAATTTACACATTGCATACAATCCACATACATAACCAAAATAGGCAAAAATAGCCCCTAGTGCATTAGTCACAAAGTGGACATATGGTGATATTATATTTTGTCAATAGTTTTCGTTGTAATTTTAAATGTACTTTTTCAAGTCGTTGTTATAGTTAGTATAGGCTTTAAATCTGGAGATAACACTCATGTCAGTCAGAGTATATCACTTATCACTGATAGCGTTGTGCACAAAACTTTGTCGATTTTTTGTGGCCTACGCATTATTTTATGTTTCAGTAAATGTCATAAAACTGTATTGTGAATCTTATTCTTTAAAGCATATTTCTTGATTCAGATACAATAACTGTGCTAAAATGATAAATTTTTATAGCAATCATAACTATAAGCTGTATTTTTTATATTGCCAGTTCTACGCGTGACGTCAATTTCCTTACAAGGGCCCATTTCCCATGCCCTAATGAAAAAGGATGATATCAACATTTACAACAATAAAATATAAAGTGGTCAATTTTCAGCATGTATCTAACTGTAAACTTAGAAAATAAATTTTAAAGTTGTTTTTGAAATATTGTAAAGTCGAACATTGTTTGATAGTAATAGGTAATTTATTCCAAACGTCAATATTGAAATAAAAAAAGAATCCTTTAAATAATTTGTATGAGGTATACTTTTCAGAACAAGATCTTTATGAGCGATTGAGCGTAAATTATGTTAATAATTGTGAGAGAAACTAAAAACTTCACTCATATATAACGTTGCCAGATTTTTTTAGAGATTTATAAACCATAATTGCTGTGTAGTATTTCACTCTGAAATTGATTTTCAGCCTTTTAAGTTTATTAAAAAGATCTAATGTTGGTGAACGTATCAATCTATTAAGTATAATTTTTGCAGCTCTTTTTTTAACTGAGTTTACTTTATTAATGTATGAGTATGTGTCCTTTCCCAATACCGTACAACAATAATCAAGCGCAGGAAGGATGTACGTGTTGTAATATATCTTTTTTACTTTGTCAGTAAGTTCAAAAATGATATGTTTGAAGAAGGCAATTTTTGTATTTAGTTCTTTGCAAACAGAGTCAATTTGATAATGTCAGTTTAATGTATAATCTACATCAATGTCCAACAACTTTTAAACTGTAACATTTTCAAGAGTTGTATCATTTACTTTCAGTAGGAGAGGATTACATTTCTTCACCTTTTTTGAAGAACCAATTATCATGCATCTGTTTTTATTGGGTGCAAAGACATTTTGATGCACAAAAATTTAATATCTTGCGTGATTGTATTTCTTTTATATATTATTTCTTTGTATTTTGGTATTTTCATTGTATATTAAAACAATTATTTTTGACAACATACTCCTTATGTATGCGATTATGTGTGTAAGTTTTTCCGGCTTAGTTGCCATTTTGTTTTTGTTATATACAAATTTCTAACTTAATTGTAAATAAATAAATAAGCATACATTTTGTCCTTTGTTATCTGATTATAAAACATCGATACATAGTTTGTTTCTATGTAAACTACTAAAAAATATTACTAAATGGAAAAGATAAATGAGACCGCTTTAATATTCATGACCACTTTACCTAATACTTGGTAACACTTGACAGTTACTCTTTTGCGACACTTGTCGTAATTATGAAACTTGTTTTAAATACACTTGTTAGGATAGGGAAGTCATGAAATTAAGCACAGTTTTGTTTTATTTTTATAAGAAAAAAACATATACATTAAATTGAGTGATATAAACAACATGTAAAACTGTTTTTAAGGAAGTTATTTGTTTCTAATCTAAACTGACAATGAAGCATGAAAGGTGTTTATTATAGATATTCGGCAATTATACGAGTTGTAGTTATGGTATCACACTATGTTGTCGGTATTGTTTTACATTAAAACACTTGCACTTCCACCGCTGTAAGTTCGAATCCCGGAGACTTTGGAATTTTTCATGTAAGGAAGCTAACCGGCTAGCTTACGAAACGTCGGTGGTTTTACTAAAATGCGTGCTCTTGTCTAAACTTAAGATTCAAGATTCAACATTCAAATGTTTTATTTGGTAACGTAATGATGTCGTTTCTTATTACAGAGACACATACATAAGATGATACACATTACACAATTTTACAGACACTTATAGTAACAGAAAGTATTTTAAATATTGCCAAATACTCGCAAGAGACAAAAAGGAAGACAGAAAACAAGGAGGTTGAATTCATAGCGAATTTGTATATTATTTGACTAACTAAATCACTACAAAAATAACTCAAATGTTACACGAAATTAATAAAATATAACAAGATCAATTTGCATATTAATTTAATTTAAAACGTTAGATACTGTAATAAGCTTATTAAGACATCAAACTAAGCATATCTTGACACATTTTAAAGGCTTCATATATATAAAATTACATTATTCAATTTGCATGTTGCTGTTGGTACTCTTCATGACAATACCGTCTTATTTCTATTCTTACTTAGTGAGAAGACAATCTTAAGCAATTCTAAATTTCATTGTAATTCCACCAAGATACAGTGAGTAATCAAATGAAGTCTTAAAAAGTCTATATGTGCCTAGGCTTGTATGATACCATGACTGGTCAGTAAGATTTTGTTTAAATAATAAATGTACATTAACAAGGTTATCAATAAACCATGCATATAATAAACCTGCATTATCTTATAATGAGTTTACATTAGACAACCAGTTACGTTTGTGTATATTGATATCATTTAACATTTATGTATATTAATACACTTGTAACTATATATAGTAACAAAATCGCCTATGTTTTCAACTGATTACGAGTGTCACGTGACCTATTATGAGTTTGCGGCCCGGGGCCGAGAACTAGTTATCCGCCAGCTGAACTTGTGCACGTGCACAAACTGAAACAATGACGTCACACTTAAACTGAAAAATTTGAAGAAGGTTTTAAGCATGAATCGCTTGATTTTATTATGAGAGCTGAAGCATATTTCGTACACATACAGTTTTATTACTATTGAAGTTTAAAGAAATAATACGACAGATTCATTCCGAAAAATAGGATATAAAACTTGCTTCTAGATTCTGCAGTACAGAAGTGTACTATGAACATACAAAAAGTCTGTAGAAATTACGGTTCTGTACAATAGAAGTTACTGTACTGTACAGTAGAAATGCAGGAAAAAAATTTCAAGGTATTAATTTTCATAAAATTGATACTATTAGATCTACCAGGTGTGTTTAAAGACATTAATACACGTCTTAGTTGTGCCAGAAGGAGATAATCGGTCCTGAAATGAATAATGCCCTCGGGACCATTATTCATTTTCCGGGCCGATTATCACCTTCCGGCCCTACTTTGCCGTGTATTAATCTCTTATAAGTTACTGACTATAACATTTTTACTTTAAACAATATTTGAACAGAATTTGATAATCCGCGTACACATCTGTTTACATTTGAAGGGTGCGTTTTCAGCTCAACATAAATAAACATACTGCTTTTTGACTGCTTAACACATAACATGGACATACAAAATTTTAGATATGCTCGTTCGATTTCTTTACTTTTACAAAATCCACTTTTTTGTCACAGGCATACTTCAAAATACATACAACACAAGCATCAAACAATTGCAAAGAAGTACTTTTTTAACAAAGGTTTCAGATTGAAGAATAAAACATTTAATGCCTTGAGGTCTTTCCTAACTAAATACTCTTGATTCAAATTAAAAAATACCAGTATAGTTAAATGCAGTACCTAAATTGAAATTGTCGAGTATTTCTAAGGGAATACTATTATATTTCCAATGCTCTTATTATTTCTAATCGTAACCGTCTTCCTTAAATCCATAACCTTACTTTTAACTTCATTTACTTTTAATCCCCATACAGTACAGTAATTATGCAATTTATCTAAACTATTTTGTAAGACTTCATGTGATTAACTTAAAATAACAATACCATAAGCAAATAAAGAATAAATGTAATATCTTTTAACGGCAAAACAGAATTAATATAATTTAATAAAGTACGTAAGAGCAGCTGATGTCTTCCTCCCCTTGTAAAGCTGGACAGTCGCCATTTGAAATAAGTAATTCAACGTAAATAAGTAAGTAATTTATAGATCAGACTTAAAAAACATTAGTAAATAAGTAAGTAATTTATAGATCAGACTTAAAAAACATTAACAGTTCAACTTGATATATTTTGATCTTATTACAAAAAGATCACATGCACAGTTGTACAAAAAAAGTTATATAAAATGAATGAGGTATCAAATTATGATTTTAAGATTTTTCAAGATTTTATTATTCACTCCATACACAAAACATGTAAGTATGAGGTAAATAACAAATTACAAATGTTTACAAGGTTAACAGTATGTAACTCACGCATCTTACAATATTCTTTTAACATGGACAGGAGAAAGTTTAACATTCATACCAAATAAAACGAATGAATTCAAAAATATTTATCAAAGTTTATAATTTAGTTCAATATTTTTCTAAGATTATTTTTTATAAACATGCACATTTTTTATATATCACATATTTAGAGGGGTCAGTGTTCATTAATTCATCAAACTTTATTATATTTGGATTTATATAATAACAAATTTCAGAGATATATTTTTTCTATCCTTATTAAAATTTGGGCATTTTAATAGAAAATGCAATTCGTCGCCTATGTTTTGATTGCAGAGAGTGCATTTTCTCTGTTCTAAAGGTATCCCATGCCAATTTTCAGTTTAAATCGGTAGTTTATGATTTCTAGTTCTGAATTTGATCACATATATAAACTATTTGGTAGGTGTTTCACTAAGGTATTTGTCAATTTCAAATTTTCTATATGTAAATATGGACATCCGTTTTATGGAACTGTTCTGCCTTCAAATGTGCGGACATCAAAATATCAACATGCAGTCAAATGTTTTAAATGCTTTTAAGGAAAGTATTTACAATAGTGTTTAACACATAAAATATTAGACAGATAATCAGAACCTTACAATAAAGAATGACTTTGTGTTTGATATAATGTCGTCTATTGTTTATTAATTATATTGTTACTCTGTTCTCAGTCTGACTCTTTAAAAACAGTTCGTTGTTGTTGATGATCATTTATCTTCGTGTGTGCCTACTGTTATAAGTAACTCAATGGTATCAAGTATGTGGACGAATTTCTCCATATTCATGCTCAGATACTGTATAAACGAGAAGAAAAGAAAAATATTTTAAAATCATTTAATAAAACCAACTAGAATGTAGACGAAAAATTTATATAAACAGTTTATATTTTGATACTTAATAACTTATGAATGATCTGAACAATTAATTCACAATTACCTTGAACTCTTCCAAGATCCTCATAGTCAGGTGACTTTAACACAGGGTCGCTGTTTGATGCTGAAAAATAAACCTTTCTATATACTGATATTCTTGTAATATATCAACGCAACTTTACAGTTAATGACTACATAACGGATTATAAAATGTGATTGAAATATACAAGTTACCCTTTGAATACATGCGGCTGATTTTTTAACAACAACAAAAACAACTTACAATGCCCATTGCGATTAAAGGGCTCGCATAACATTTTAACTTCTGAACAATAAGTTAAGCAAAAAAGCATGAATGTACATCTTCATTGAAATATTAAAAAATAGAGGATATTGAATGAGTGTAAGTTCAATACTGAATTTATTGCACGAGTTGAATAAAATTATATTATGCGAGGCTCCGGCGTGCATAATATTATTTGAATCAACGAGTGAAAGAAATTCAGTAATGAACTTACACGAATTTAATATTCTATTTATCACATATCCAAAATAAAGACCGTTAAAAGTGAAATAAGAGTCATTTTTCATTGACGCGCCTATAGTATAACGCTAACATTTAGCGCGTCTTTACACTATGTTTGTATAACGCTAATGACGTCACGTAAAAATATATGCACGGTAATGCAATACTATATTTATCACGGGGGAGGAAGTGTAACACGAAGGATGGAGTTCTTATGATAACTTGTTTGCAGTTCTTATGATAACTGTCACGGAGTTCCTGGAAAACGTTACGGATTTCTGTGGAAAACTTTTCTATATACTTTGAGAAATCATGTAAAAAATGGTCATTTTTACCTTTAAATGGGGAGTTTGAGGTGCTAAATTAAACTTTGATAATTAAGCTTGCCCTACGTATTATATTTTGTTTCAGAAAAAACTTTTAGTCCATTTTTCATCGTCTTTTTTAAAAAATCTGGTAGTTTTGAATAAAATTTCCAAATTACTTGCTCATTCGTACATACTGACCTTTTTATTTGTGATCTCCTTCGTTGCTTTACTTAATGACCTAATGATAATGGAGAGTTGTAAACATAAAGCCCAGGCTAATAAATTTATACCCGATTTTTCAAATGTCACGGAGTTCTTGTGATAACCCAAAATATGTCCTGGAGTTCTTATGATAACTTTTGTTACTGCCAGTGTGTTTCTTGTGCTTAATTACGGTACGTTTACGCGAATTTTATTATTTAATAAGTGTTTAAATTATCATGAAACTTTATACTCTCAGCCTAACACAAAAATAAGTAATATATAATGTTGGTTTTGAGCGTGTTTTAGTTAAAAAGATATTTTTCTAATAAAATCCGCGCGAATTCATATTTACATTATAAAACCGAACGAATGCACTAAATGTTTCTGTGTATATAAAGTTTTATGTTAACGCTGAATTTACAGCAACTACAGAGAAATATATAAGTCGCATAATAGACATGCATATCGTTATTATGATGAATATGCGGTACATGTATATAGCTTGGTGTGCACGTAAATTTTAGGTAACTGTCATTTTTTCAGGATTCGGCTGTCAGAAAACCCCAAATCTTTTAAGAATAGATTGAACATGAAACAGTCTACAAAGGATAAAAAGGTGAATTATGGGCTATCTTCAGGAAAACCTGAACCAGCGGTCACCTGTATTCAGCGGAAACATGACTTAACCCACCAGGCAAAAAATGTTAAAAAATTAAACTTTTTTCTCAGTTACATGTTTTAAGCAATCGCCTTTCTTAAGCAGACAATATTAGTTGGGCTTTCCTCAAGAAGCGGCTAAGTAATTTGTATCATTTTATACCATAAACAACAAATAAATATCTGGGATATCCTTCACACCCATGCAACCAAAATGTATGACCTTTTTAATCGATTACTATCGATCTCTTCAACAGATTTGCACGAGCCCTACGGGTTGGAGCGACAGAAATTCGACAATATATTTTTGTTATCAATTACAGAAAAAGTTTCCACAACTAGGATTATTTAGGGGGAATGCCCGAAGGACTCCTAACTTTGATAAGAAAAATGTATGCAATAATTTTCCGCAATATGGAGATTTCTGTACGTCACGTGATGCTTCATTGGATTTAATAGAGAAAGAAACGGCATGAACCATGGTGACTCACATATATTATTAAAGACTTACTTTCAATTGTCATATCATTTTCATAGAAATTTATACGTTTCTATGACAAAATTTATATCTTTTAGAAATAAAGATATCCATTGAATACCTAAAGATGACACCCACCTCTTTAAATTTCGATAAAGGTAGTGCATACTACTTCCTATTTTGCTGCAAACCATTTACATGTAATTTGTTTCGGCAGATCGATAGCATAATTACTTAATGTTCTCTAAAACTGCCAGGAATAATGTATACATGAAGAAATCATGCTTAAATATTAAATGGAAAGCGTATTTTTATCCTGTAAGTAAATGCTCTACATCAAGTATGTTTTCAGTCATTCCAATAAAATGAAATAAAAACACAAACAAACACAAAAAACCCTCACGAAACGGGGGTAAGAAAAATATATCTTGAACTAAAATACGCTCAAAATCAACATAATATAACCAAATGTGTGTGCAAATGATACGCGTACTATGCTTCATATCAATTTATTTGCCTGGGCTTTATGTTTGCAACTATGCATTACAATTATGTATTTATGTAAAGCAACGAAGAAGATCACAAATGAAAAGGTCAATATGTACGAATGAGAAGTAATTTGGAAATTTTACTCAAAACTACCAGATTCTTTTTAAAAAGGCGATGAAAAATTGACTAAAAAGTTTTTCTGAAATATTATACAATATGTAGGGCAAGCTTAATTATCAAAGTTTAATTTAGCACCTCAAACTCCTCATTTAAAGGTAAAAATGACCATTTTTTACATGTGTTCTCCAAGTATATAGAAAGTTTTCCACAGAAATCCGTAACGTTTTCCAGGAACTCCGTGACAGTTATCATAAGAACTCCAAACAAGTTATCATAAGAACTCCATCCTTCGTGTAACACTTCCTCCCCCGTGTTTATGGAGTCGCAAAATCGGCACGGGTGTGTGATAATGCTTAATATTAAATATTTTCAACGTAAAGCCTTAAAAATATTCAAGGTATGTTATGATAATATAGGTACGAAAGAAATTGTAAGTAATTACATATACGAGTATTTTAAATGAAACGCAAGAAGCCAATTGAAAGTCTAGGAAAACAAGAAATACCTTGTACAATTCCATGCTTGCTGGCACTGCCGGGATTTCCTGAATTTCCACTTTCCATTTCAATGCCTGAAAATATTTGAACAATTATGTTACCGTATAAGTGGTTTTTTCTGCGGTGACTTTATTTCTGCGTTTTCTGCGGTCAGTTTCGGCACCGCAGAAATTAAAACCGCAGAATATTTTTCTAACCTGCTACGATATGTATCCTACATTGTGACCTGTTTCGTCTAAAGTTATAACGACAAACAGATTATAACGGTTAGCGGGTTTTCAAGTTGTATAAAATTGCAGACGGCTAAGTATGTAATGTGTGTTTGTAAGGATGTACTTATTGTTAATTATGCCAATTTAAAAATAAAGATATTTCAAACCATTCCAACCCTTATACTGCTAAATAATCGTTGTTTACTTATAATGTCATCTAATACGATAGGTAAACTTGTATCAATTTTATTAAATTAAAGATCATACTACAGGGGTATATTTTTCACACGTTACTTCACGCTGATCAAAGATGTATACCTTTCTATTGTTGCGCATTATATTTGTTTGCAAGCAAACAATATAATTGTTTGTAATTACTATACAGTTTTGCGGTGACGACGATAAACAAATGCGAACGTATGTATGTAAATATAATAGATAGGGTAATGTGACTTATACTTTGATAAGACGAGTCGCAGAATTTAAATCATGTTTTGTCCAAAGAATGTGCCGCAGAAATAAAGTCCGCAGAAATAAAAACATGCCAAAATTTGGAAAAACCGCAGAATTTGGAGCCCGCAGAAAAAACCACTTATACGGTACTATTTTATTTAAATTATAACGCCTGGAAATATTTAAATAATTATGCTATTATTTATCTAAATAATTACGCCTGGAAATATTTGAATAATTATGATACTATTTTATCTAAATTATCATGCTTGAAACTCAGTTGTAAGAACATATTAAGATTCAGATTGGAAGTCATTTAATTAAGAACTGACCGTGCAAATGGAGCTATAAAGGGAGCGGTGGTCTAGTGGTTAAGGTGTATGCCTCTTAATCCAGGGATCATGTGCTCGAGCCCTACTCGGGTTACAATCCGTATTTTGTATGACACCATGACTGGTTGGTTCCAGGAAACGGACTCTAAAATGATTGACATTAGTGCAAGAACTTGTTTCGCAATCGAGCTTTTTATAAAAGTTTACTTTTATATGTTTCTACATGATCATTTTAGTGTTTTACTTATTTAACCTTTTGTAACCATGACAACTGTTAGAATTTCACTTGGCGGGGATGCATTTTATTTACACTGTCTCGTTTATAGGAACATGGTGGGGCTAAGAGCGAGGTTTGGTGCACCATTAACCGGTTTAAACTCCCCAGCAGTCATTAATATGCTGCTGACCGTTCCAAGGCGGCGCCCCACTGTGTTCCTCAAATGTATGTCTATGTTGTTTCATACTGTTTTGGTGACACTTTTGCTTGTGTCCCTTGTTGTTTTCTCGTCTACGGTAAGTATCTTCCCCATTGCCTCTAGTTTTTATTTCTTTGATTACCCCCCCCCCCTTCCCCCGGTCTCCTGTCTCCTTCCCCTTTGTGGGCCTATTATCCTTTTCTTTGAATTCCTAATCAGTTACAATTTATTTATCATTTAATGATTAACCTGTCCGTGCTCTGTCTTTGCCCTGTCCTGTTTTTGTTTGGGGTCCGCCTGGGCTCTTTGTCATTGGTTCTTGTTGCTGGGTCATATGGGGGTTGCGTTCATTGAACGCCGCCTTTCCCTGTTGATCTTGTTTATCATATATTAAATAAATAATTATGATAAAACTTGATATGAAGAACATAAAATTCTTAATGAAAAAAAAACATCATCTATCAGTAAAAAATAAGAACTAGTATTTATTTACCTGCGTTTTCATAAACAGGTCCTTTTGCCTTGTAAGTATCATTGACCCTGTAATAAAAATGAAATATTGGACTTATTTGTTTAGATCATTTGACTTGTCATTTACTCAAAAACTGTTGACAAGAAAATATAATGGATACAAGCGATTCTAAATACGCGGAAGTAAAAAGCTACTAAAATTATAATGATGTGTTGCTTTTTAACATCGTATTTTGAAAGTACCATAAACGATGATCTCACTCCTACAAATGTATTTTAAATTTGATAGTACTAATAAGTCAAAATTGTTTAAGTTAGATCTTTGATTGTTTAAGAGAAATGAAATGTAACGAGAGGGTCATGACAATAGTTTTACTTCTTTCTTCATTTTTTTGCAAAGTGGAACTCAGAAGGCGAAAAGTTTTTTAGAAGTTTGACATAATTTATATATTGTACAGTATTCTTGAAACTTTCTTGTTCTTTAAGTTCCTTCTTGGACTTAAATTCAGTTTTAAATATGAACAATCTTTACCTTTTCCGATATTTCCAGAGAATCAACGCAACCACAAATATGATGTTAACAACTAATGACACAGCAAGAATTGTTCCAAGTGATATAGCAGCTGTATTTACTGACTGCTCGGAGGAACTTGAGTCTAAAAAACAGCGATAAACAACACAATTATCTTACCTTAGAAATAGGAGAGTGCTACATGGGTTTAATTTAAGACATATTTAAAAGTTTATACATTGTGTATCACTATAAATCCATCAAGACATAAAATATAATCAAATGCTTTGCTTTTAATTTGCTTTACATATTGTATTATTCTATTCTATACATAAACACGTGTATAATTGTTGTGGCAGATACTTTAGTTATTCTTATCATTAAAATCATAATCATTAACATTATTTTCAATATCATTTGCAGCGGCAACAGCAACATCATCATCATCGTCATTACAAATATACAGAGGAGACATAACATTAACACATAACATAGCTAAAAATGAAAACATATATAACGAATGATGAAAAAACGAGCTGGTTAAAATTTATCTTACCTGATGTCAGAGGGCAAATGTGGTCATTCTTTACTTTTATTATGCAGCCTTTTGTACATTTGCCGTCGTCTTGCTTACAAAGTGTATCTTTGCAATAAACAGAACATTTCTCAGAACACTGTAAACCGTGGAAACCATCTACACATCCATATAGACACTTTCCATTCATTTGCTGACATAAACTTCCTATTGCTGTTGTTTGAGTGTTGCATGTAGAGGCACATGACGAGTTGAATTTATCACCAAAAAAGGGTTATTTTGGGCAACCCCCAAAAAGGGCCCTGATTCGATATGACAGGATTAAAGCATTTTTGAGGAATTGTTTTTGTCAATTGGTAAATTGAAAGTACCCCAGACTTACATTTTTTTAACAAAACTAATACCCTCCCCAAACATGTTGAAAACAGTTTTGATTTTACAACATCTGTCCCCAAGAATAATTTTTTTAAAACCGTTTTCAGAGCACGTTCCTGAAATTTTTCTGGCACATACCGTTCAAACAATGAATCGGGAAATTTCTCAAAAAAGGGCAAACCCCATAAAAAACCAGGAGGGACATCTATAACTTTTTTTCCCCTTTAAAAGTTGACCAAACGCAAAAACAAAAAACCAGTGCCCTTTTGGGGCGGGATTTGACTCGGCAAAGTTTTTTGGGAAACAGATATTTTTGGATGTATCCCATTTTTTCCCAGGAAAATGCATTGATAGCATTGTTCCCCTTAAAAAATTACAAAAACACCCATTTGGGGCTTTCCCCCTTACTTTTTTGCAATGCTGTTTTTTAAAACACCCGGGAACAGGACAAAAATTGTTCAGTATTGCCCTTTACCAGCCTTTTAAAAACCAGAGTCACTTTTTCCCCAACAATCGTTTTCAAAAGAACTCCGTCTGTAAAATTTTCCCGGGAATTTTTTTTCACGACAAAAACCTTTCCCCCTGAAGGCCATATTTTATGGGCACACATTTCCAAAATTTCCCCGGGTTTTTCCCCTTGATTACATATTACTCCAGCAAAATTATGAAAGCAATGGCAGTTTCCAGTTAATCTATCGCAAGTGTTTGACATACAACCAGCTGAACAACTGTGGTCGCATGTCGATCCATAAAGACCAGTTTTACAAAGCGAGCAATTATTATAGGAAACACATTGTGCACAGCTCTCTCGACATTTGTATGAACAGTCTTTCAACAAAGGAAGGTTTATGTTGTCGTTCAGGTGACCTTTAAAATTACCATCCTTACACGATCCACAATTTGTATTCGATGTACACGTGACACAGTTATCTGGACATAAACTATTACATTTATTACTGGTATCGTAATATCCGTCCTTACATGATGTGCATTGACCGTTATCACAATTACAATTTTCAGGACAGTAACGATTGCTACAATCATTCCGACCATTGTCATTATTATATCCCTCCTTGCATGATGTACACGTGATTCCTGATGTGCATGTTTTACATCCGGGTAAACATTGTGATGTGCAATCTCTTTGCAACGCCGGGATAATAGCCACCATAGCACGCAGTAACACTCATCTATATCATTGGGGCATTTTGTACAATTGTATGTACATAGCTCATAACATCGAGGCAGATCTATGACCATCAATACAGCCTAAATGTACATTCGTTAGGTAAACCATATCCCTGGTCCACATTTTCTATCTATAAAGCATGCACACCCTACTTGACGACAATTTTCATCAATCACTTGTAAGGGAGAAAAAAAAAATCATTTCATTAAAACTACCACCTGACTTTTTCGTGCTTCATGATTTTTTCTTTTAACCTAAATAATGTTACGTTTTCAAATTAAACAGAGAAAAAATATCACATTCGTATCTGTTATATAGACGGGTGTAAATTTAGTTACCTCCTTCTACCAGGTTGTTGCTAACATTTAACCATATTACACCATACAAGCAATATCTGAAATATATGTAATGCAATTACACAAATGAAACAAGTACATGGTCAAAGACTTCTTTTCTAAAGCTTAGTTAAACCATACATATTCATAATCATTAAAAGATATTATTTAAATTGAATCAGTGTAGTTTTGTCACACTCCCCCCTCTTTTAATTAATTATTTACCAAAAATAAAAGTTCTGTCAATGCTTTTTGATTGAAAATTTAAAGGTAAACGTAATTATATTGACTTTTGATTTTTGACAACTCATTTCATACACACTATTAAATAATGTATTATGGTAGATAGCTTTTAATATTGCTACTTTTATCTTTACTATTAACAATATTTTCTTTCAGTTAATTTTTTTATTGTTTGTATTAAATTATTTAGATTTTTGCTAGCGTACTTTAAAATAACTAATGTACAGTTCGCGTTCCAGAAACTAACCAGTAATGGTGTAAGGATGTGAAATAATAATAATGAACCCAAGTAGGGTTTGTACATATCGACTCATGGTTGCAAGGCAGTTCACCGTAACCACCAAGCAGCCATCTCAATAACGCTGGTGAGTTGGATGTCCTTTAAAAAAGTTGTATGTTTATTTCATTGTATTATCAGAATTGTGTGAATTTGTAAAAATAAAGACTTCTCAAACTAGAAATATCTGTTTCATTGAAAATTTTAATCTTGTACTGGGATTACTAATTACGTAAACTTGTTTATTTGTTGAAAATTTCTAGAGTTTTGATATCAGTTTTATCTTATTCATATTACAAATGAAGAAATAACTTAAAGAAAATATAATTGAAAATTGTATATCCATACATTTGAATTAATGAAATGAAAACCACAAGTCGGATCTACGATAATATGCTATGAAAAAATGGTAAAAAACACAAAAGGCCGGGTTGAATTTGTATATACCAAATACACAGAGCCCGTAATAGTACGAAAACCCCCCCCCACCTCCCCCCCCAAAAAAAAAGAAGAAGAAAAAACAACAACAAAAAACAACAAACAAACAACAAACAAACAAAAAAACACTGACCATATACGACGGTAAACAGGAAGTGGATGAGCAACATACCTGATTTCGTATCCCAAGGTATGGGACACATGTAAATGCTTATACCAAATATCAAGAGGCTGTATTAAGTAGTTGCTGAGAAAACTGTTAAGAAAATCTCCCACCATTGACCATTAATGTTGAAAATTAACTAAAACGGTTAACGGGAAGTGGAAAGAGCGACAAACTTGAATCGAATCCCATGGTATGTGACCACGTGTCAAATACTGTACGCCATATATTAAGAGGCTGTGATAACTAGTTGCTTGAGAAAAACTGTTACGAAAATTTCCTTCCCTTGACCATTAATGTCGAAAATTTAGCCAAGTGAGTAAACAAAAATGTGGATGAATCGAATTCCACGGTTTGGGACTGCATGTCAATACTGTATGCCAATATATGAGAAAAATATTTCCGTCCGTCCGCCGCCCGACATTCACAATACTATAAATCTGGTTTGCACCTGTGCAGCCCGGCCAAACATTTTGAATAAATCAAGGCATGTTAATAAAATAACTATCAAATTATTGATTTTATAAACTCTTAATGTGAATGGATAAATGTGATAGGCGATGTTATTACAATGTACATTTCCAGAGGAATTTTCAAGGAAGTTCTATTCAGTGGCATTAGTTTATAACATTGAGAGTATGCCGAACCCCATACAAGATAACGGAATGATATGCCAAAGGGATCATTATCAAGTATATAATACTACCAGACCTACCTCGATAAACGTCATCAATACATTGATTTGAAATTTATTTCTCTAAACAAAATCTTTAAACATTTTCCCATGATAAATCTCTAAAACAAAATTATTTTCATATTATATAGCAAATAATGTCACATATTTCACTATTTGCATCGCCAAAATCTGTAACTACATTTACTTAGAAGTGAAGGGGAATTTGAATAAGTTTACAGCTAAATACACGGGATAAGGACATTGTATGCTGTGTAATTCTCGAAGAAATGTTAAATCTGAAAACAATTTTTCTTCTTTAAAAAGAAACATGCGAGAGGCTTTTTTTCGCAGCTGTTGAAGATTTGCTTGTTAAAATGACGGAACATAAACGATTTCTTGAGCACATATCGGCTACTTCTGCTAGTATCCGGATAAGCTCTAAGAATAATCGGCTAGGTGTACCGAGGTTTAATGGGGTCATACTTTATACTGCAAAATAGAGAGAAATAAGAATCCCTAAAGAAATCCAACACAACATGAATTGAAATGTTTGCAAATGTTCGGTTTGAGTTGAGCCTGTTCATGGACGGTTTTGTCAAGTGCAAACTACCGTCCACGCCCGCTAGCACCGGCTTAAGCAGAATTCAACATTTAAACATGATATGGTAAGATTTTTGAATTTAGAAACATACGCAGATGTGTTCATACGGCGGTAATCATGGAACCTTCAATATGACACTTCCGTGCCATCCATGAAAAACGGCAATATGTTCCCCAAGTAAG